TGAATTGCTCGAATAGGCATGATCATAACGAAAGGTAATAGGACACGGCATGTGATGGCCCGTGGGCATGCGCTACGTGCGCAGCTCACTTTTCTTGGCCAACTCATCGACCTAACATGACTTTCCTTCGGCCAACATGATTTGACTGATCTCAAAATGACATAAAATGATCAAACAAACATGGTTTACTCGGGGTTGTTCGAATAGAAATTAATCTCACTTGGCATGAATTAACATAACTTAAACCGAACATGACTTAGTATTTTTCATGAATTTCTAAACATGAACCGAGCACTCTGATTCTAACATGATCCTACTATCTTGAATAAGTGATGAAGGTGGAATTACCTCTCCAAGCTCTCGGTGAATTGTGCAAGAACGTGCGTGATCCCTCACTCGAACAAAGCTTGCGCGTGCGTGCGATAAAATAATCTTAAACGTAATTAATATTTACTTAGTGTATAGCTTAAGTGATAATTTATCTTTTCACCCCAACATCAGATTTAAAAGGGGTTAAACGATGGTGAATTTGGGATGAAAAGGCTCGGCCAATGGCCTTGCGCCAAGTGCCGTGCGTCTAGTGCACAAGAGTGGCACTTGTGTGCTTACTCAACATCTTCTAAGCTTAGTCACCCCTCCAAGCACTCTCCCTCTTCCATGTGTACTAAGTTATGATGACAACCCATGTGAAGAAATTAAGGAGCCTTTACTCTCGGCCATTAGTAATTCTAAGCATGGTTTAGGTGTGCTAAGCGTGCTTACGCGTGAGCTAAGTACATCCGTGCTAATGCCGCACTTATGATGTACTTAAACGTGCAATACCCTTGTATAGGGTTAGATTAACATAATTAACATGATTTCTTGGTAATGCAAGATACTTAATACCTTAATTAAGTATGATTAAGCTCAGTAAAATATTTATCGAGCGATTAGACATGAATTGATTATCAGAAAATTATTCCGAACATAAACGTGATATTCGAAAATTAATTCGAACGTGACTTGACTTGGATAAATAATTTCGAACGATAACGCTGAATAAATAAATATTTTGGAACTAAACATGATATTATATTAATTAACAGGTCGGGATATTACACACTATCCCTTCTTCATCCCTATTGTTGCTCCAGGTAAACTGATACCTTTTCATATCAATCTCTATCATACCCATGTTTGAGTTGAAGTTTTGAAATGGAAGAAGACTTCCAACTGAACTTGGCCTTCTACCTTGTTTGTTAGAAGCCAGATGAAGGTCATTCCAGTCCCCAATCAGACAACAATCATCTCCCCAGTTCATCTTATCAGCTTCCAAGCATTGCCACTGAGACATTCTAGAAGAAAGGTCAGTGCTCATATACACAAATATGATCCAACAGGGATCTCCATCAATGGTGGTCTTATACTGCACCTGGATACAGTAAGAAGACTCAATCATCTGCAAATGATTACATTCAAATCCCAACATAACAACAACCCCCTTCTAGTCCCCACAGGTTCCACAAAACAACTTCTATCCATAAATCCTAACTTATTACAAAATGAAACAGTAAACTTTTTTTTTTCTTAGTCTCAGATAAAAATAAAAACATTAGGTGATGAGTGTTTAAGGCCTCTCGAATTTGGGGAACTGTAGAGGGGCCACCCAAACCTCTACAGTTCCACACCAGAGCTAGCATTGATCACCTTGGGCCCATTTTAGGCTGGCCACAACCACCTCTTTGCCTGAGACCTTAGGTTTCTTGTAGCCCAACTCCTGGGGTTGAGCCACCCCTGCTTCTTCATTAGAAGTGAGTGTACCTCCTCTTCTCTTTCTAGTTCCAGCTGGTTCATGTTGGGTGCAAGGTTGCTTCTCCTGTCTGGTCAATCTTTCCACCATGGTTTTCTTCTTCTTCCAAACTCTACTCTTTTGCTTCTGCTCCTTTTCTTCAGGGACTAAATTTTCAGGCTCTCTTTGCTCTAGGTTTTCCATTCTAGTCTCCTCTTCTTCTGGGATTAAGTCGAGACTCCAGTTCTTCTCAGGATATGGATTAGATTGTGGGGTAACTAGAACAGTGTCTTTATTTTTACTCTGGGAACTCTCCACCCCTGCAAGAGAAGATGAGGATTCCACCACACAGATATTTTTGGATGTGATATCCATGTGATGAGTACTGATGTTTTGATAAAAAATACCAGCATGTACATGCTCTTGAGGGTCCTGCATCTGCTCCCTCTGATCAGGTGGAACATTTGCCATAAATGGTCTATTGGCTGATGGGTCACTTTTGTTGCTAGTTGGTGGCGATCTAGAGACAACCACCCCTTTCATTTCCTTCATCCAATCCCCATATTGCCCTGTCTTCAGTTCTAGCTTAGCTTTATCCTCAATTTGTTGAGAACAATTTTTATCAACATGGCCCAATTTTCCACACTAGTAACAAAGGCTCACAATTTTCTCATACTTGAAATGAACCGTGACCACTTCCTCTCCCAGTCTAATGGTAGACCATCTTGGGAGGGGGGCTTTAAGATCAAGTGTAACTTGGAGTCTAATAAACCTTCCCCCCTGAAATCTTGTTCTGTCCAGGTTGACATTCTTAATATCCTTGAAAGCTCGCCCAAGTTTCATTCATACATCAATGGTCATCCAGTTAATAGGAACATTATGAACTTGAACCCATATCATTAATTCTTTGAAACAAGGATGTTGAAAGCCCCCTTCTCCAATGCTGCAAGACTAGATATTGGTTTTAAAAATCCAGCTTCTCCCTAGATCAGCCCACAACATGGCTTCACGGTTGGGGAAGATGAACTGGAAGTAATTAACACCAAGCTCACGAACTTCCTACACATTTCTCACATGCCATAACAGCTCAAGAAGTAATTAACACCAAGCTCACGAACTTCCAACACATTTCTCACACGCCATAACAGCTCAATCGTCCTTTTAATGCCCATTCAGTTTGCCTTCTTTTCACCCACCACCTTCCCGAACATGCTTCGATTGCATTCCTCCGCGCTAATCCTTACATCTCTTTCTTCTATGTCGATGATAAGATTTTCCCCGTCGGCAATAGAAATTTTCCCTAACCGTTACCCAAGATCCTCCTCCATTAAAGCCTCTTCTAAAAGATGGTAGAAACTGGAAACCCTACACTGAAATAACTTCCCACACCTTCGAACAGCGAAGAAAAACACTCCCATTGGAGATCACACTCTCAGAACGTGAAAAGAACAATTTGTTACTTAAGATTAATATACGATAAAGTTTAATATATAATAGCCGAGAATAACATATAATACTTTGTATTTGATTCATATCTTCCATTCCTTTCTCGCATCCCTAATCCCCTTTCCCTTCCTCTCTCATCAAACGCCAGAGAGAGAGAAAGAGAGAGAGAGTAGAAGGTGATAAGTTTTCCATAAGTTTCACCTAATTAGTGATTAAATATGTAAATTACTGATATAAGAGATATTGGGTAATTATGCTATAAAAATAATAGATCTTGCTTTATTGTCAATATTTACAAATTGATTCCATTTATGTAATAAAATGAGAAATGTCTTGTATATGGTGTAATTTTCTCTTTATTATAGTGCATGGGTGTGAGTTGATTGTTTTTTTAGTGTTCCGCTTTCGTTGTATGTATTTCTCTGTTCTAAAAATCAGCCAGACGGCTAAGTGGCGCCTAGGCGCTCCTAGGCGGACTTGACGGGCTCGGCGGCCAGGCGATTAGGCGGCACCTTGGCGGACCTAGGCGCTCCTAGGCGGCTCGACGGCAATTTTTTAGTTTTTTTTAATAGTAATTATATTATTTTGTTTTTCATGTTTTATGTAAAATATATGGATTTTGCTACTTTGCCACCCTCCATTACAACATGGTTTACAACCATGTGTAATGGAGGCATTAAAAAATGCAATAATACACATTTTTCAATGAGTAATGTTACTTAGCCAACTTCGACGACAACTTAGGTTACAACTCAAGTGCAAATGCATTATCAAAAAATTGATAAATATTGCATTTACACTTGAATTGTTACCCAAGTTGTAACTCAAGTGGGCTTTATAGCATTCCCGTTTTTCAATGCCTCCATTACACATGGTTGTAAACCATGTTGTAATGGAGGGTGGCTATGTAGCATTACCCAAAATATATTAATATTATTATTTGAACTTAAGTTTGTGGATTTATTATAAGTCAAGATAGTTTTATTGTGTAGGTAGTTAAAACAAATAAAAATTAAGGTATTTAATATATATTCTAGGCCCCGACTAGGCGCTGGTAGAACGCCTAGCTGACGCCTAGCGACTTTTAAAGCATGCTTTATTTTAATCTAACTGCGTTTGGCTTTAGTCTTAGTTATTGAGTTGTTTCCAATTTGACTCCATTTTGGAGTTTTTGTGTTGTGTAGGTGATTGTAGCCCTTGGTTGATTGTAGGATTCTAAGGAAGTGGATCTAGCCTTTGTCCTGGTTTGACAAGAAAAAAGTAAGTAAAAAGTTAAACCATCGCACAGTTCCAAAATTCTGAATTATAAGGCTAAAATTTAGAAATTGTTAATAGCATTAAATCAACGAGTACACAAACAATAATTCAATTTGCTTAAAAATCAATTAATAATCTAAAAAATAATCCAATATCATTTTGGTATTTGGTCTGTTTTTTTGGTATATATACTTACACTGTATTTCATTCTTTTATGTTTAGGTATATAATTTCATTTTTTTTTCCTAGTAGTATTTTTGTTTTCCAATTCCAACAAATGTTCACATTCGGTAATAATTTTTCAACTCACATCATAAGATCCAGATCCGGGAATAGATGTATGGAGTATCATGTAAAGCAAGAAGAAAGCCAATTCCATTTCCTCCCAAATAGAATTGGTACTTCATTCAGCTGACTCGCAGCAGAACACAAACATTCAGACAACACACCCCTGCAAACCAAGAGAACAGAACACTAAAAACGCTCACGACACAACAAAAATCTCTCTCGCATCACAGTTTCTCCGTCCTCACTGTTGGGCACACTGGACCCGCTGGGCGCCACCACCATGCGCATCTTCGTCATCCTCGTCATAAGCTTCCTGGCGCTGGGCCTGCTTCCTCCTCATCTCCTCCTCTATGTTGACATCACGCAATGTTGTCTCCTCGCACTCGTCCAACTCCATGTCTGTCACCTTTGACTGAGGCCTTACTGGAAGAATCTTGGCCAAGCCGTCCACATGCTCGGGATTAAGAGACTCCGGGAACTCAATGTTAAAGTGTATGTACAGCTTGCCCTTCATGAATGGCCTCCCGTACATAGGCATTCCCTCATCATTAATGGCCTTGAATGAATCTGCCATATTAAAAACATTAGACGACGTATAGCGAACTTGCACACAAAGTGTGACTACCTAGTATAGTGATGTTGTAGAGTGTGACTACCTACTATAAATTACCCTTCAACATGTGTGACCTAATAATTGACAATCAACCTGTCCACTTTTTTAGGTTTGTGGCAGAAGCCTAAAAAGGTAATCCCCCCCTACACAAATTGTACACAAGGAAGTCCTAACCTATTTAACAAATTTTTGTATTATCTTATGGGGGAATTTGTATTTTCCTACAGACGATAGTGATTCATGTAATTAGAATGAACCTTGAAGCTTGGTCTATAGAGTAATTCATAAAATTAGTCTCAGAAGTACTAACCAGGCTTCACAACTTCTCCAGGCTGAGATTTGATAAGGAGCTGCCGTCCATCCAGATGGGACAGAATGAACTGGAACCCACATAAGGCCTCAGTTAAGGACAGGGAATGCTCGATAAAAAGGTCCTCGCCCTTCCTCTTAAATCTAGGATGCTCTTTCTGCTGTAGCACAAAGACTATATCCCCAGTAACCGTATCAGGCTGCAATAGAACAACAATGAACAAAAGACCACAAATTCACAATCACAAACTCGGCATAAAATCACCTCAATTACTAACAAAAATGAATAAGACTCTTCCGATCTTACCGCCTCATCAGCTTCCCCAGGGAATGTTATTTTTTGTCCATTTTGCATGCCCTTCTCAACATGGACTTCCAAGACTTTTTTTTCCTGAACAACCTTTTCGCCCTTGCATTGAGGGCATCGGTCCTTATCGTTGATTGTCTCCCCTGTTCCTTTACACTCATTGCAAGCATGCTGCATCTGCTGAATCATCCCTGGACCGAGCTGCCTTATAGTAACCTTCATACCAGTCCCCTGGCAACCTGAGCACTTCATAGATGCCCCGGATTTCGACCCTTTGCTGCAAAACATATACATGACAAACGATTTGTTAAAATGAGAAGTACAGAAAATAGTCCAAGAGGGGCCCAATATTTATTTTTTTTTTTTTAACAAAAAGCATGTACCGAAAAAAAGAAAAATCAATAAAAAATACAGTAATTAAAAAAATAAAAATAGAACAGTAGGAAAACATAAATCTAAACAAATAACACTAAGGGAAAAACACGGGAAACATAACAAACAACAAAAGACACAGTAAAAACAACATTCTTTCTCCGAAAAAGATGGCAGCTGACACAAGTTTTGACTGATTAAAACTAACAAAAGAGGAAGGTATAGGAACCCATAACATAAACAAACAAATTTGCAATCACCCAAAGAAAATTTTCAAGAACAAGGCAAAAACTTACCCACTACACTTGCTGCAAATCACATTACGCGAAAGCGAGAGCTTTTTGGTTGTGCCAAGATACAAATCCTCAAGAGAGACCTTTAACGGGTGTACAACATCCTCTCCCCTTCTTTGTCTTCGCCCCCTACTGCTACCACCTGCTCATCAGCACAAAGATATCTGAGCTGAGTAATATGTTCAAATGATCATGTGTAGATACAGAACTACAGCAGCAACCGTCAAGAATATTATAGATGTGGGTTCAAGTGCCTCACCACCAAATGGGCTGCTGCCAAAGAATGATGAAAATATGTCGAAAGGATCGTGCCCGCCACCCCCGCCCATTCCTTCCTTGAGTGCATCCTCACCATACTGGTCATAGATTTCTCGCTTTTCAGGATCACTCAAGACCTCATAAGCATGAGCAAGTTCCTTGAACTGCAGCTCAAAACAAGTTATAAGTTACTAATCCATCAATCAAGACCCCACCAGAAGACAAAATGGTAGTCTAACGTCCAACGTCCAACCTACCAATGACACTAATCTATGCTTAGCGGGCAGTGGCATTCAACATGATCACATATTTATAGATATTGAAAACAGATTGACTGTCCTATATCAATATAGTAAAGAAAGTTGCAAGACTCTTACATCAGACAGACCCTCTCAGACATAACTTGTAATTTCAACAGGCCCAAGCAGGATACATGAAAGTGAAACAATAATATTCAAATTAACTAAACCATATAACAAGTACGCTTGTGCTATTGTATATACCCAAAAATAGAAATCGTTACAGCAGCACATCAAATCACTTGAAAACAGTAAGCAGTTTTTGGATTCAATTTGGAATTTGGATCCAAAACAATTATGATTTGTCCAAATTACTAAAAACTAAGTTCATAAATCAGCCCAGCATTATGCATATCACAATCATACCACAAGAAGACAAGATCTAGTTCTTCAGAATCACAAAAGACTTTACATTGGAAATACATACATGATCTGTTCCAATAAACATGATTTTGTTCCATGGTCCAATCACATTAACAACCCAAGCTACAGTTCACAATTACGAATCAAACAAGCATTGCATTATCTAATGTCAACCACGGCACCACAACAAACGCTAATCATACGTGATAGCCGCCCTTGTCCGGATCAATCCGAAGCAAGAAACCCCAAAAAAACAAAAGAAAGAAAAAAAGCGAAATAGACATCGATCTATACCTTCTCAGGATCGCCGCCCTTGTCCGGATGATTCTTGATAGCCGCTTTCTTATACGCCTTCTTCAGATCATCCTGCGACGCCGTCTTAGGGACCCCGAGAATCTCATAGTACTTGGTGTTATCACTTTTCTTCGGTGCCCTCCCAAACATCTTCGATCAGTCACTTACAAAATCAAGATCGCCTTAATTCGGATCGAGAAAAGTCGAATCCAACTGAACGGGCCGATTTCCTGAAAGCAGCGAGGTGAATAAACAGAGACAGAAAAGGCAGCTTCTAATTGAGGGTGAAGGGAATTTATATATATGGGCACAAAAGGAAATTTCGACGGTGGAGATTGAGTAAGGATGCGATCGTGGCCGCAGGTTGGGCATGAGGTTCTTACGGTGATATTGGATGGTGGAAGGATCTGGAACTCTCCACCTTTTTCTTTCTTTTTCCTTTTCTTTTTTTCCCCAATATAACCGACTTTTCCCATTGCACATTGCAAAACTATATATACAATACTAGAAATTTCGATGCACAACCGGTCCATAATACCAAAGTATTTATGTTTCAAGATGATACTTTCATATTTTAATCAAGTAGATCCAAAATTGCTTAAAAATATTATTGAAAAATATTTTATACACACAAGCGCACCTAAAAAATTGATAAAATGAACAAATTATACGGCAAAAAATTGAACCCATGCATGACTATTAAACCACGATTTTTAGTTTCTAAAATCAAACCGATCGACATCATTTATGTGATGACCAATTTGTCGTAAAACCCACTACGTTTATTAAATGGTTTAAAAATTATTTGTTTTACTTGTGTAATTAGTTTGACCACAAGAGGTCGCCAATTATCTCAAATTGTAGCATGTATTGGCTCCCGACCTATTTTTTTATGGATATTTTTGTGAGATATATGCTCAAATCTCAATGATGTTAGAGTTTTATAATAACATTTTATCATTGAGAAACAATAACTTACAACAATTTTCTCCTAAAGCCAATACGTTTTGGAGATGAAATTAAGATGGGTATTTTTTTATGATAACTACATTTAGTTTCTTTTTATAATAAATGGACTTAAATGGTGTAGGTGGGAAAATGTGCAGCCAAAATTCTTTTCATCTTTTTTCAGCGGTGGGCCTCGCCCCTGCATATATGGTCTAGAAAAACATTTGTTGGATCAATTTTTCCAATTCAAACGGGCATGCTCATTTTTTGTGAAAACTTCTGTAATCCATCACGCCCTATAATTTTGTATTCATAAGAAAAAAAAAATAAAAATAAAAAGTCTTAGAGCAACTCTACTCTATGATGCAACTCACTTCGAAGTTATGCAATAAATATGTTCTAATCTACGTTACACTTTCGAATGATAATG